ACTCAGGAATTACTCCTGGCGGAGCTCTAGGGACCATATGGGATGCTGGGAATTGTACCCAGGTCGGCTGAGTGCAAGGCAAATGCCCTACCCGCTGTGCTATTGCTTCAGCCCCTGTTTATTTGTTTTTTTTTTATTTTTATTTTTTTATTTTTTTATTTTTATTTTAAAAAAATTTTATTAGTGAAACACCATGAGGTACAGTTGTAGACTTACAAATTTTTTGTGCTTGGGTTTCAGTTACACAATGTTTATTTGTTTTTTAAGATGAAAGTTGTTGTGACATTTAATGATGCTCCCACTCCCTTAGTCTCCTCATCTCTTTTGAAGAATTTGATTTCTGGGCGACAGGCTGCTCCAGGAACTTTTTCTCCCCCAGAACTTTGTAGTAGCCCGATCAGGTCATCAATGATGGGAGCTGCCCCAGTCTTGTTTTGGGCAGCATTAACCCTTTCTGCTCACTGACCAAGTTCCACAGTTTGTCCAGATTGACCGTTGTGCAGAAGCTTTTATTTCCCTTTAAGTGATAATGCCTCACACCCACTTTCCCAGAGTAATCTGGATAGTATTTGTCAAAGTGGAACCTGTGGTGATGCATCCATCAGTGTTACCCAGACCTCCTGGGAGTTTCTGGAGCTTGCCCATGTGGCTGTGGCCGTGGCTCATGTGGCCCTTGTGTTTTCAGGTCTTCCTCAGTCTGGCCAGCATGTTGGTTGGCCAGAGGAAGATCTGTTATCTATTTCCTATGATACATAACATGCCTTGCTTTTTCCTTTGAGTATTTTGATATTTATATTTCTTATGTTAATTCAAAGCAAGTTCGAACGACAAATTGACAAATTTTTGGTAGACTATTCTATATGAACAAAGGTTACAGTTAAATAATTGTGTAAATTGAGTAACTATCTCAAAGTGCACCATTTGATTTATACTTAAAATGCTATTTTCAATTGACAAAAGAGCAGTTGAGAAGAAACCATGTGGCTTCAAAAAAGCAAACTCTAACAAAAGGTCAGTACTCTAAAAGCAGGAAATAAATGACACGTCCTTTGCACAGTTGATTAAAGAAGAGAAGTTATTGTAAACTAGAGGAACTTCTGACGAGAGTGTAGTGTTTGAGAATGGCAAAGTGAGGGTACAACAGAATGTTTGAGAATGGAAAAATGAGAGGGTTAATTTACTGACTAGAAAGAACAAGACAAAGAGTTAGTGGTATCATTCAGGTAAAAAATAGTTTGTAGAGAAATTTTAGTAGAGTAACACTTTGCATTTTTATTTAAAAGATAAGGGGCGATCTTAAAATGAGTATTATTTCAGAATTTTATACATAAGCATCTCTATTTTGGGCTTAGTATAGGGGGCAAAGTGCTTGCCTTGCATGCAGCTGACCCAGGTTTGATTCCCAGAAACAAGGTTCCTGGGCATTGTTAGGAGTAATCCCTGAGCACAGAGTCAGGAGTTAACCCTGGGCACAGCTGAGTGTTAACCAAAACCAAACCAAATCAAACAAAAAAAAGTGCTACTCATTTATATGAATTAGTACAAATTCCATTAAGATTAGCATATATATTTAAAAATGAAAGCAGGGGTTTTTGATATATCTTTGTTTTGATAAAACCTTAAAAAAAAACTATGTTGGGCCAGAGTGACGGTACAGTGGGTAGGGCACTTGCCTTGTGCAAGACTGACTTGGATTCAATCCCTGGCACCCTTATAGTCCCTTGATCCCTGTCAGGAGTGATCCACTAGCACAGAGACAGGAATAAGCCCTGAGCATTGCCAGGGGGACCCAGAACAGAAACAACCAAACCAAACCAAACCAAACCAAATCAAACCAAACCAAACCAAAACAAAGCTGCCCTTAACATTTCCCAATATAAGATTAGATTATAATTTTATAATGCAAAAATGATATGAAATCTTGATTTAGTTGCAAACTGATTCTCACGTTTTGCTCGTGTCCTTTAATCTTAGGTTCCAATGAAGAAAATTGTAAAATTTATGGCCTTTATAAATTGTGAGTAACTGAACATTACAAATATTAGAAATAGACATGTCATAAGCTATAGTTTTAGCTTCCTTATAAAAACTGCACTGGTATCCAATTATAGCTCTTCTAAGAATCATTTTATTGGTTTGTTGATTCCATGTCCTGGATTTTCCAGGTCACTTGAGATTCCAAATATTTTATCTGTTGTTAAATGATGTGTTCAAATTTTGATTTGTAGAAGGTGGTCACTGCATTTATAGATTGACTTCAAAATAGCAATGGCCTTTAGCATTATGCAGTAATTCTATTTCTGGAGCATGATTACCAACTTTAATCAAATTAAAGCAAAGTTCATTGAGTCTACATAACAAGCTATCAAAATAATGACATTTAAAAAACGTTGTAGCAATTTGCAATTTGAGGAACAGTATTAATGATTTATTATAGACATATACAACTCATAAACCTATATAGTGCCTATTCACCCTTGCCATATAGAAAACAAAAAAAACAATTTAGTTAGGAAAGTTATATATTACATGACTAAAGCTAGAGATGAAAAAATAATCAGAATGCTTGTGGCAATATTAAAATATCACCACCCAGTCTTTATATTTAACTCCCATAGACTGGAACTCAGATAACGGAAACTGAACGGGTTTACAAGAAAGTATGTGGCAATGATCATGAGTGAACTAAGTTAAAACTGGCTCATTATCCTCCGCCAAAACATTGCTATTTTACAAATGAAAACATTTAGATCATCTGATGGCCTCCCCGCTTTAATTACTATCCTTTGAAACACAACATTTGTTTATGGCTCCTTTTCCCATTCTTTCCGAATTCAGGTAACCACATGGCGGGGTGAGGGGTGGAGGTGGATGGAGAAGGGGGAAGGGGCAGTTAAACAGCAACACATCGTTTTGAAAACGAAGATGGTTTTCCAGCCTCGATGAAACGCTACCAACCGCCAGCGATCAGGCTGTGCTCCCACATCTCCGTGCTAGCTGGGACTTGCGAAACAAACGCGCGCGGGGATGCTGCGGCACAGGGGTGGGAGTGGGAGCTGGGATATCACTGGCTTGACACTTCGGCACCGTTGCCATGAGTGATTCACTCGTGTTTGGCACATTCGCTGCGAGGAAATCTCCTCCTCCCTCCGCTTCCTTCTCCGAGCCGCTCTCAGGCTGTCTCTTGTGCTTTGGCCTTTAAGGAGAAGTGCGAGCAGGTGGGCACAGAGGAGCCTGCCGAGTCCTCCTCCCCCTGCTCCTTCCCTAATTTAGCAGTACTTCCGGCCGCGTGACATCATCCCCCGCACCCCGGTGACGTGAGCGGCGGGTGACGTGTGTGCGGAGAGGAGCGCGCTGACGTTGCTATTTAAAGGTCCTCCTGCGGGGAGGATGGAGACACAGCGCGAGCACCTGGAGCGGGGCGCGGAGGAGGCTGTGGCGGCCGGGAGCGGGGCCAGGAGGCAGCGGCGAAGCGCAGCGCACGGCCCCGCCCGCCGCCGGCCACTAGGGGCGGGGGAAGGAGGGAAGGACGGACTGACGGACCGGCCGGCCGGCCTAGCGCTCCCCACGAGGGCCGCCTCGGCCGGCCCCTCGCCGCCAGCCGCCTCGCCGCGCTCTCCGCTGCCCGCGGGGCGCCTCCGGCCCCCGGGACGGGCCACCCCGCGGCCCCCCGACGTCCGACCGGGGTCCCGCGGCGGCGGCCGGCCGCCGCCCCGCCCGCGAGCAGGGGGAGGGGCCGCGCTCGCCCCCTCCCCGTTTTCCCCGCCCCGCCCCGCCCCCCTGCAGCCCGCTCGGCCGCGGCGCTGGGCTCACGCGGGCGGCGCTGACCCGCGCGGCGGCGCCTGGGGGGCTCGGCGAGAGGCCGGCGGCGGCGGCGGGCTGGAGGCCGCCCGGGCCGGCGCTGCTCTCTGGCGAGCGGGAGCTGGAGGCCGGCGGAGGCGGGTGGTGATGGAAGTGTGAGGAGGCGGCGGCGGCGGCGGCGGCGGCGCCGGGCCCGGGGACCGAGAGGCGGCGCGTGGCGGCGGCGCAGCGCGGGAGCGGCGAGGAGCCGGGGTGGGGGCGCTGGAGCCGCGGTTCCGCCGAGGCTCCGGACCCCGCGCCTGCGTGGCCCCCCCGGACGCGGGATCGGCCGAGCCTCCCCGACTCGGGCGGGCGCCCGTCGACCCGTCAGCCCCGCGGTCCGCCGCCGCACGGGCCGCCCGGGAGCTGGGCGCCGGCTTCCGGGCACCGCGCGCGGGGGCTCGGCGCGCTCATTCATTCATTCGTTCATTCATTCATTCTCCACCGACGGGAGAGCTGCGGCGTCCGGGAGAGAGCGGGGCGAGGGGACAGCCGCGAATGAAGAGCCGGGTGCGAACCAGGCTCCATTGTGCTCGGCGGCGGGGGGCGGGCAGGGGCTGAGGGAGGTGGGATCGGGCCCCCTCCCCCTGCTCCCCGGCGCGCGCGCTGCGCCCCCAGCCTGCTGCCAGCCTGGAAATGGCTCCGTGTATTCTCCTCGGGAGAATGAATCGATCCTGCCCCGTTTTCTCTCCCTCCTCCCCACCTCCTCTCCGCTCCGAGTCTTAGGAGGGGACGCATTCGAAAGACAGATTCCTATGTGGAGCGCCACGCACGTCTCGAGCTGCCGGGGTTTGCACTTCGAGGAGATTTTTTTTTCTACGTAGCTTTCCTTTTCTAACGTGTGCGCAGGGAAGCAGTGGGCATTTCTGCCTGTCAGATTTTTTTATTTTCACGTAGGGCTTTCTCTCAAGTGCACGTCGCATTGGGTTGCACGCTCCACCCCCAGGGACCTAGCGTGGTGGAGAAATTTGAACCCGCAGCCTTAGCCGCCGCTGAAGAGGCCGAGTTACCTGGCTCTCGTGAGTGTTGGAGGAGGACACGGGCGCAATGACCACCGAACTCGTTTCTAACAGGACTCGGTGAAGCTGGATCCTGCGTTTTTCCGACTACACAGATTCATCTTTTTTTTTTTTTTTTTTTTGTGTGTGTGTGGAATAGAGTTTGACCGCGATCTCCTCCGCGCAGCATTTTACGTTTTCAATAAGCAAATGCCACCGCTGTTTGAACGCTTTGATCTTTACGAGGAAGAAAGAAAATTTACCGAAGGGGACTAAATTGATGTGTCAACATCATTGAAATACCTCCAGAAGAGGATCGCGGGGGCTGGAAAAGCAACTGCGAAATTGACGGAGGCATTCCTTTGGAAGTTATTCCGTAGCCTAAGAGCAGAAACTTCAGAGCAAGTTTTCATTGGGCAAAATGGGGTAAGAATTCTTGTGCTTTAACGCAGCCTGGAATCTCTCTCTCTCTCTCTCTCTCTCTCTGTGAGTGTGTGAGGTTTGTGTTTGGCGGAGTCTGTCAAATGATTGTGATTTGTGTTTCGTCTTTGCAGAGAAATCTGCCACCTCTCGAAGCTGGTCGTATTTTAAAATGTAGGTGTGCTAACCTTTTGCCAAGTTGTATTTGTAGAGAGACAGCGGAGGTCACGCACAGACGTATAATAGCATTTGTAGCCGGAATATCATGTTATGAGTCTAACACCTTCTGCGCCCTTCTGGGCAAACTGCCGCTCGCATCCCTTGATGATCAGCCGTGTCTTCGGTTCTGTTGCCGACAGGTTCTGTTGCCGACGGTATCGGTCGAGACTAGTAGTTGCGTTCTCGCAGTACTCGGTTGCACAAAGGCACAGTGGCAAACTAATGAGTGGTTAGACAACAGTCCTTGAAAATGATCCAGTGGGTGTTGTTGCCCTCACGGTGCCCTCTGTTTTGTCCTTGAAATAGCCACAGCCAAAACGTGTGGAATCGACGGTGTCACTGATGTGGTCGTGGTAGTGCCAGGCACTGGATAGATCACAGCTGGAATAAGGAAACAATTTTTTGTGGACGGAACTTGTTTACTTTCTCTCTCTCTCTCTCTCTCTCTCTCTCTCTCTCTCTCTCTCTCTCTTGCTTTTAAGCTCAGGTCTTCAGTATGTTTTCACAATGTCGGGTCTGCACCTCTCAGATCCAAAGTCAACCAAGAGTCCATTTTCCAACCTTGGATGAACTCTTCACACAGTAACTTGATAAAATGTTAGTGGCTTCCTCATTTAAGACAGAAACCCGCAATATGTTAGCTGATTGGCTATTTCCAGGACAGATTGTTGATGTTTTTCCTCAGAGAAAAATTCCAGAATTTTCACTTTTAATGGTAGAACAAACATATCTCAAGCGTAGTTAATGGACAAGGATCGGAAGGATAGATTTCATTCTGATTGTCGAAAGGTGCTCACACCAGTCTCGAAACTTGAAGTTCTTAGATAGCACGACCCTTTTTTTGTTGTAGTTAGAATTTGAGGTTTATTAACTTGAACAAGTTTGAAAATTCAGAACATGTCCTAAGACTCAATCAGGAATGAATGAATGATAAATGTATCTAAAACTTAAATGACAAGTGTTGAACAGTATGTGTAACTTGCATGTTTTGTCGTACTGCTAAGAGCAATTAAAATACTTCTTTCTATTTCTAGTGCTGCTATTAGTAGCTTGGTGATCTGAGCAAGTTACCTAACCTCTATGGACTCTATTTTCTTATGTTGTACAATGAAGGGCTTAGATAAATTTTAAAGATTTTTTTTCCAGGTTACAAGGTGAATGATTTTTCTCATTTCTAGTTTAATGATTGCTAGTTGGGTTCTTTAAATCTTTCAGATGGAGAAATTGTTTTCTCTAAGTTTACAAGCTGGCAAATAATATTTGAAAATGTTTTGGATGAATTGCATCTATTTTAATGAGAGAAAATATTGCAAAATTTAACTATCCAAAACCTTTGAAATATGGCTTCCCTTGAGAATCTGCAGCGCTCTGTTTAAGATGTGTCGAGAGAGAAAGAGAGAGAGAGAGAGGAGAAAGAGAGAGAAGTGACAATTTAACATTAAAAGCTGCAGTCTATAAAGTAGTAGAATCATGGTAGAAAATTCGTTTTCTACTACTTTTAAGCTGAACTAATGCCAACTAATCATTTGATCAAGGGAAGCTTGAGATAAAGGAGTAGTACTGAATATAGAAAAATAATACCCCCCCCCCCCAGTTTACACTCAGCATACATATGTTTAGAAACTTCAGCCTAACTCAATTTAGAAATTATTTTGTCTTTTCTTAATGAAGTCTTAGAGATGAGCTGAAGAGGAAAAGGAATAAGCCTTTATGGCATTTTCTTTGGACAAGTGTTTTTGGAGCTATGACTTTCTTATTCATAGTGACTCGTTTCCTCTGAGTTGTCAAAAGTGGATGAATAGGAGAAAATAGAAGAGAACATGCAAAGGAAACATTTGTGGGAGTTTCACAATTTGTAGGTATTTTATACCTAATAAATGTCTAAGGAATATATATTCTTCTAGACCTATTTATAAAAAAGAAATAACTTTAAATGGCAAAGTTTTCCCTAGGCAATCCTGGATTTTTGACAAGTATCTAAAATTTAATACTGTGTGTAAAGAGTTTCATTTGCATAGTATATTTTTGACTGAGTTAATCAGAATATATTTTTCCCCTTAATTATAGATATAATTGTGAGCACAGTCTAAACAAAAGGTATTACTTTGAAAGAAGATTAGTGATGCAACAGCAAACAAAGTCTGTGACCCTTTAGTAATAGTTTATCAAGGATGCTGGAAACAGAAAAGAACAGCTGAAACTGACAGTTGGCTGAGTCTGTCAAAGGATCTTGGTGATGCCGGGGGAACTGTTTTTAATTACAGTGAAGCAGCTCAAGAATTGGTTTGTGAAGTAGGTGTGTCAAACCCCCTAAAACAGAGCATTCCTGTATGTAAAATTAAGTCTGTGAAAAGCTTCAAAACCCCAGTGAAGAATCAGATAAATTTGAGAATATAAACCCTCTCACCCCCACCATCCCTGTCTCCAAGAAGTCTCGCTTAAGGACCATTAGAGTAGGCAACAGAAATCAAGTAACATATCTTTGTTCTTGCTGCCTTTAAAAAAAAAAACATTATGTTCATATAGGGCATTAACAAGGCATTAGGTGACCCCATCCCAATTATGAGTTATTTAAAAAATGTGGTTCTCTCTGATAATAGAGCCTGATAATGTTTCTGATTTTATCTCACATGCTGTGTGAAACCCCTGAATTCTCTTCTCTTGAGAATTCCTCAGATAACTTCCGAAAGCATGGAAGTGAGCACTGGTGTTTTGCAACATGAACTGAGTGAAATTGACACCTCTTTCCATCTTTGGCTACTGGGTACATCTCTTGGGGGGCTGAAAGAAAATGCAGAAATCTTGATCCACAGCTGCAGTATGCGAAAGCAGCCACCCAGTCCCTTTCAACAGCACAAGAGGAGCTACACAATCACTTTTAGCATCCTAAAAGTTAGATACACGTCTGTGGTTTTGTGTTTGTTCATGTTACTATTTCCCCCTTTTTGGCAAGGGCATGCGCAGCATTTCAGTGCTGCAGATAGAGATTCAACTGTGTCTCTGGGTTCAATGCCCAGTACTGCCCCCAAAATAAAATAAATAAATAAATAGTGTTCCTTTCCATAGGGAGTGTACAGTCTAGAAGACAGCTAAGTCTGAAACTAAAAAGTCTAGTGACATATGTAAGGGGAATCAGTAGAGTACAAAGTGTGTATGAACCAGGAAGGAATTTGTTGCTGGGGAAAGATAAACAAGGTTCCATGGAGGAGGTGATAGGTATTAGATGGTGAAAGATGAGTGAGTACAGGTTGCCCAAGTAGATAGGAGAGACTGTTCACGACACAGAGAATAGTGTGACTGACACGCTCAGAAGAGGAGCTGCAATATGGCTTTCCATGAAGAGCTTGTTTTGCTTGGGCCCAGTGGGTTGTATAACAAGAGCTAGTCCTAGAGCCTTATGTGGGAATCAGGTTAGAGACTCTTGTGGATCCAGTGAAAGCTGGTGTATTTCAAGCACTTTCTGGCAGTGACTCTTTTCATTAACATACAAATTTTTACCTCACCATCAGTTGCACACATTGTAAATGATGAATGTCACAAAATAATGCCATTATGTGATGTGCTCTGGTATTTCTCTATTCCATTCTGTTTTATTTTTAAGGAAAAATGACAGTTGGTACCCACTAAATTCATTTAACAACCCAGTGGTAGCAAATGGTAATTTGAAAAATATTGCTCTTGGCTAGGAAGCACTGACAGGTTTTAAGCAGAATAGTTACAGTGAAGAGGCAGAGAAGTAGGGTGAGAAAACAGTTTTTAAAATAATTCAAAATTTGGTTTTGTGTGTTGTGTCCTATGGAAACACCAAGTCAGAGAAGCGAGCCTTGTCTCCGTAGCGGGGAAGTGAATCGCTTGGACAGGTCCTGGAAAATTCCAGAGTGAGAAGAGGGCAGGGGATGACTTAGATGCCTGTGGTAGACTGGGCGGGGAACTTCTTAGAATTAAGGCATTATATGAGCAGAGGTGAACATGTCGGAAAAGGCACGGTATATTTCCAACAGATTGTGTCGACTGAGATCGGCTATGAAATTAGTGAGTGAATGTGAAAAGATTTTTTTTTTTGATGATATATGAGCTGCATGGAAAGTAAGAGTGTGAGGCTTTGAGATCTCCCCAGGCAAGTACTACTTAAAGGTTTCTTGGAATCGCTGGTAAGATTTGTATTCTAATACAATATCATCTGTAATTAACAGAGTTATTTTATACCTGTCATACATATATATTAGGATATCAATCATAAGACATTATGTATTTTGCTAAGTTTTCCCTAGTTTCATTGAAATACAGTGGGCATTCAGCTTTTATTAAAGGTGTATACAACATAATTTGACAAATGTATAAATAGCAAAAATGTTAACAAGTTGCTTCCCCTTCTTTTTTTTTTGAGGGGGGGGACCCCTGGTGGTGCTGGTGGTGCTTAGGGCTTCCTACTGACTTTGCTCAGAGATCACTGCTGTTGGGCTTGGGAAACTATATGGAGTACCAGGAATTGAACATGGGTCAGGTGCGTGTGAAGCAGGTGCCTTACCTGCTGTTCTGTTTATCAGGTTCAATAAGAGGCTTTTTCATATTAATGAGAATCTTTATGAAATAGGTCTATTTTGAACACATGCGTAGAATAATTGAGCTAACATGATAATTTTATTACAATATAAATCTTACCAGCAACTCTTAACCCTGCCTTCTTCCTAACTTTGCAATTTCCTCCCTGCTTCCCAAACTGGGTAACTTCAGTGTTGAAATTGGTGATGCAGATTTAAGGGTTTTGCCCTAAATCATCTTTCTTC